GGTTTAGGTTGGTCTCAGAATAATAGTATCTGTTCCATGTTTAAAGCAGAATGTATAATTTAAAAGGGGCAATTTGTAAGAGCGACGCGTCATTACGATGGCTGTGTCGAGAGGAGAAGGGAAGAGGAGGAGTTTCTCAGATGGGGATTTCTCAGCAGGCACAAAGGTGTCTGCATTTTTTCTTTTATCTGAGCGAAAGATTGGTTGATGTATTGCAGCATCAAAAAATACTCCAGTTTGTTTCAACACGATGACAAAGCTGACAAAAGCCGAATACACAATGAGCGTAAATGAATGCAAAGCGGATTTGTTTGCTAGCAGAGGTTTGTGTTGCTAATACACAGCATTGCTTCATAAAGAGACCTTTCGCAGTTTCATGGAAACCAAATTTACTGCTATGAAGCTGATCATTTCCCCTTTTTTTCTTTCTATCCAGCTCCAAGAAGCCAACTCTGTTTTAGCTCAAACTGGGGTTTGAGGGCTGAATGGCCACTTATGACTGGATTCACAGGTTAATATCCTCCCGGTGAGGCATCCTCAAAACACTTCACTGAGGAGGTATCCTAGGGAGATGCCCCAAAACACCTCAGCTGGCTCCTTTCCACATCGAGGAGTAACAGCTCCACTGAGCCGCCTCCCAAATAATAAGTAGTCTTTTTTTGACTACTTTGGTGACCTCAGACACAGTGATGGGCGAGTCATCCCTCTTGTTCCCGAACTGTGCTTTTACTACAGAAAGTCTTTCGGTGGCATTGAGATCTTCGAATAATTCTTTATTATATCCATGGATGAGATCAGCAGCACCCCACTCCCACTATAGACGGTGTGAGCAGGAAGGTACTGGAAATATATGAAAAGGTACTCATTTCATATATTTCCAGTTTGTCTCACACATGTTTTTGTGTCATAATTCACCAAAGTTTGATCAGTTATCTTCACACGTGAAATCAATAAGACAGAATGTAGATTTAGGCTAATATCCACTCGTGAAGTACTTGTGGTATCATTGTGCTGAGATGTCCTTCCTGCTCTTAAGTATGTGGCATCAGTAGAATAGAGCCAAATGCTCAAAGCCCCTCTCTCTCTCCACAGCCTCACTCTGATGGGTGAAAGCTGGCAATCCTGTTTGTGCTATATTGCTCTATAATCACAGGTATGAGTGTATGTAATAAAGAGGCCATGGAATCATGTGTTTAACCCCCAGCGCCCATACAAAATTCATAAAAAAGAATCAGCCAAGAAATGAAATGCACTGCACAGGTTTCTTCCCAGTCAAGACAGTAAAGCATGGTCTTAATTTGAATTGCAGAAGGAATAAAAAGGAGAGAGAGAGAGGGAGGCACAGAGGACGGGCTGAGCTGCAAGCTCATTTCAAATGGGAATCTGGTCTTCAGGGTACGAGCACATGTATGTGAGACAGACAGGAGAGCAAGATGGGAGGGGGGGCGAAAGCAAGGAGAAGGAAGGGAAAATCCAATTCCAGATTACATGTGCTTGTGGTGCAGTGTGGGTGGGCAAGTGTTGAAGCAAGTGAGGGAGCGTGTGAAAGGCAAAGAGAGAGAGAGAAAGCAGCAACGGAAGAATAGATATAATGTAGTTTCTACATAGCTGTGAGTGTGTGCGAATTGATGTGTTTGACATGCTGTGGGATGTGGGTTGAAGACACCAGAGATCAAACCAATAAATTTATACAGAAAACCAAACACGGGAAAAAAGAAGTCCTTTTATTAAAGTTAAAGGAAATGGTGGTACCAGTCTAACAGCGCCGTGGCTGTATACTCCCAGCTACACAAGAAAGACGCCGTATAACGTATCTTAAAATGATGAATATATATATGCCACTATGTACCGCTATCCAGGATGAAACAACAAACATCCATGAGTACATCAGGAAGACTGACACAACTGACCGCATGTTAGTGAATACGTGAGGAAGGATAGACGTCAGCATGGCATGGATCATCGGCAGATAGAAGAAGTGGCTGATATTGAATGGCTACCAGTGGCTGGACAAAGCTGCACTGAAAGACAGCACAGAGGCATTAATCATTGCAGCACAGAACAAGCTCTAAGTACAAGCTCCACAGAGGTTGGGGTCTACCTCACAATGCAAGACCCCAAGTGCAGGCTGTGTAAAGACACCCCTGAGACAATCCAGCAAATATTAGCAGGGTATCTGCGTGGTCTTCGGTTTGGAGGAACTCAGCAAGGGGCACTCAGGGAGAGAGACACCATCAAAACATTATTTTTTCTTTTCTTTTCTTAGGTAGCTGTTAAACTTACTTTTGTTCATATGTACTGCAGAAACTTTATTGTTTTTGACAGTAATGTAATCACCGCTAACAACAACATAAGATATGCACATCACTTCAGATATCAGAAACTTCCCACAAGATACCTACGTCACACCCAGGTTCTTTGAATATGATGCCAAGTTTAGTTTAAGCTTCGTTAGTTTGGAATTACTGCCCCCAACAATCTTGATCAAATCAGTGATCTCTGACTAATGCATTAACCTCCTAGGACCTGGCGTCCACATATGTGGACATCACATTTTGGGTCGTCTAGACCAAAATACTCAATTTTGCTCCACAAAGGCCTGATATCCACGTACGAGGACATTATACCGCCACTGTTCTATAGAAATTTAAAACAAATATCCTCATATGTGGATTTCATTTTTCTCAGAGACAAAAAAATCAGGTAAAAAAAAAAAAAGTTCAATCTTTTTACATTCATCAGGTCCCAATCAGCCCACATAGCAAAGAGAAATCAAAAATGCATGCCATGAAAGAGTTCGGGTCTTAGGAGGTTAAAGCAGTGGTGTCAAACAGAAGGCCTGGGGACCACAATCAGACCACAAAAGACTTCAATCCGGCCCACCGGACTTTTAAAGGAGGACATAAATTTTAGATTTTAACTGTATTTTCATCAAATTTACAGCTTGTTCTGCTGATAAAGACCTCCCCCACAGTAGTAAAGGTAACAGATAAACAATTAAATGACATCTACTTTAGAAGTGTCTGTTTTTTACAACGTGTCCACATTCAAATATATAACTAAAATGGACATTTTTTTCTGTTTTGACAAAAACTTTCCTCTTTGTAATGACAGGGCAGTCTGGGCAATGAGCCAGCAGAGCTGTTTCTGTAATTTTACACTCTTATTTCAATCCCAAAGGGCCAAGCTGGAATTTTTTATTTCGCTTACTACAGCAGCATTTCTTTATCATCTTATAAAACTGAGACATTAGGTTGAAATTGCATCTCTTCTTCTTATCCTAAGACATCTTAGGGATTAAACGTGCAGTTAAACACCTTTATACTAACAGAAAGTTTCACCGGTCTGGTCCACTGCAGATCAAAGTGGGCTGTATGTGGTAAAATGAGTTTGGCATCCTCATTTTTTTGGAGAGCTCAGTGCACATTACACATGCTCTTATTCACACTGAGGTTTTTATGGGTCATATAAAAAAACCTCGTGCAAATGTGTGGTGTTGTTTTCTGAGGGAGGACAGTCTCACGTCTTCATTTGTCACACTCTTCATGCTCTTAGATTATCCTCTACCAATGTAACTTGAACAATGCAGCTGTCACCACCATCCTTTAAAGCTCTGTTGATTAAACAAAGAAACAGTTTCTAAGAGGCTGCGCTGAAGTGCTAAATATCTCCTTCACGTCCACTGGAGGGGAAATGACATCATTTTAAAGTCTAGTCATCGGCGCTTACTGTAGAAAAGTGAGTGTGTCTGTGAAGCACACTCAGCATGATTGCAGTATTTTTAACTTTGTAGTACCGACTCGCATTTGCCCAACAAACAATTACTGTAAGCAAGTGAGACACAGGGGCATTCAGATGTGAAACTTTTCTGCTGAAACACAGTGCGCTGTCACTCATCACGGTCCTTTCAGGAAGCGAACGCAATCTCAACACGGCGCTCTACACGCAGTTCACGCTGAAATTATGAAAAGATGAAAGTGTTTTTGCAGGACTCTGAAAGGTTTCGGCGCCGCTTCCTCGTGAAATATCTTCTTTAATGTATCTATCAAAGTGCACTTGATGAAAAACACTTTGTTCGTCTGAGAGTTTTCTGAGGTGTATTAAAGATATGTAAATATGAAACAGGCTGTTGTTGGAGTCCTGTCATGATTTTTTTTTCTTTTTTCACTTTTTTTTTTATCAGGCTTTGTTATAAAATGGTTATTATCTCCACAGGTATGATAAAAATGCAAGTTTAGCAGCAAACACTCCCCCAGCGATGAGTGAAAAAGACGGCTGGAGGGAGGCTCGTGGTAACAGGGCTGATGCTACAGTGTGTGTGTGTGTGTGTGTGTGTGTGTGTGTGTGTGTGTGTGTGTGTGTGTGTGTGTGCGCGCGCACGCGCACGCCTGGAAGTGTGAGACATATTGTGAGAGTGTGCTCGTGTGCGCAGCCGATGCCCATTTGAAAGCCGGCGCTAGTCTTTCGTCCTTCAATCGCCAATTAACAAGGGGCCATTTAATTGCAGTGGTTTAGGAGGGTACAACAATTACCACAGGAGCTGCACTAAGCCAAAAACACACACACAAACACACACACAATCTCTCTTAATGAGCAGCACTATCCTTTCTTCCTGTCTATCATTTGCATTTTGCTCTCCCCGTGCCTCCTCTTCACCCTCCCACCTGCGTTTTTGAGTTGTTTAGACTGAGCTCCTCCAATCGTCTTCCTTATTTCTCCTTGTCTGTCACTTTTTGTTCTGTGATATGTTTCCTTCAAAGCTCCTGACAAAGTTCTCCTCCCTGTCTCATCTCTTTTGTCCCAAAGAAGGGTTGATACAGACACCGAGCAGAATACTGGAGACTTGATACAATCTGCGATACCATGCAGGAAAAAATGGGAAAATTGAGTTTTCTTGCGTTCGGTCATTCAGACGAACACAAACATAAACGCATGTTTACACGTGCAATTTTAGATTTTGTCAGTGCTGATTTTTGTAATATGTTCTTTCTTTCTCACAGGTTCTTTCAAAGGCATGTGCAAGCAGATAGATCACTTTCCTGAGGATGCTGACTATGAGGCGGATGCCTCAGAGTACTTCTTACGTGAGTCTGTCTTTTTTTCCTTCATAATCCCAGAATAATCCCAAAGTTGTCACCTATTCATGCTTTCTGGTTTTAGTTGGTTTTGAGTCAGTAACATCTGATCTTAAAGTTATCTTTCACTGCTCGTGTCTTTATCATGAACTCTCTGAAAAGCCTACAAACATATTAAATGAAGGATGGAAAGTGAGGATGTGGGCTGAGTGACAGCACACTTAGCCAAAAATGGAAAAAGATCAAAGGAAGAGGGGAAAGGGGCTGGGATGAGAAACCACACTTTTTTGTCGTAGAGAGGGTAAAAGGAAGAGGTGGCAGAAAGTCAGAGACAAGGAGAAACTATGGAGGGCAGTGTACACTTACAGCAGAGACTCAGTAGAGGAGGGGTCAGGCATGTGAATGGAAGAATGAGGGGAATCTCACTGTTATGGAAGAGGAGGAAGAAAAAATAGTTAAAGTCCTCAAGAAGAAAGATTGTGGGAGGTGAAAGAGGACAGGAGGAAGGTGCATCAGGAGAAAGCACATGGCTCAGTGAAGGGAAGGTTGAGGAGGTGAAGGACAAGGAGTAGGGTAGCAGTACAGCGCTGTTGCTCTCCCAGCGGCTTGCCAATTAGGACACTTTCTTCTATAAATACTCTAGGCTCTGCTAAGTGGGTCACACCTCTCCTACTCCTCCTTCCTTCCATCCATCCAGCCATCCCTCACCTCCTCCCTCTTGCTTTCCATCCATATGTCTGTCCATCTCCACCGAGGCCTTCACGCTTGCCTGACAGCTGGTGGATGGAGGCTGTGGGGTAGAGCGAGGAATACAGGGAAGCGAGGGAACTGAGTTTGTTGTCATGTCCACTCAAAAATCTTTTTTTGTGTTTTTAAAAGTTTGCAAAAGTTTGAAGATGGTTTAGTGAAACGGATGCGCACAGTGTGGCACGGGAAGTTTGCTAGTTTGAGACTGGATAGTGTACAGTTAATCTTTTTTATAACAGCAGGGAGTGAGTTGCGGCAATTCTCTCGATGCCATAAGGCTTTCTCTGAGGCCTTTCAGACAGAAGATTCTGACCTATCAGCCAAAAAAAGTATCTGTGGTGTTAATTACCCTCTGTGCAGCCGTCCTGTTGTCACTAATGGCCCTGAGGAGCGGTAGAAGCCCAGCAGGAGCTTCTGGTCGTTGGTGTTGTGGGTCCATTTGAGATCAGCGGAGATGTGGGTGCCCAAAAACCTGTAGGTGAACTGGGCCGAGTTGGACTGATTGAGGCTAGTTGGTTGGGAAGTCTTTGATCCAGGAGCAGGTGTCAGGATGGACCTGATGGTGGTCCAGTTTGGTGGTGAGGATGTCTGGGATTCTCCACGAAGAGCATCCTAATGTAGCTCTTCCTGTTCTCCAGATGGCTAAGCACTCTGTAAAGGGTGATGGTGGTGACATCCTCCGTGGACCGATGTGGATTGTAAGAAAACTGGTGAGGATCAAGGGAGGGGGGTATACAGTCTCTGATGTGCGAAACAGCTGCTCGAAACACTTCATAGCTACAGACATGAGGGTTATAGGTGTGTAGTCGTTGAGGCTGTCTATACCAGTCTTTGTGTGGATGGGAAGGGTGGTGGAGGCCTTCAGACAGGTGAGAACAGTGGCATGAGTCAAGGAGAGTTTGAAGAAGCTGGCGAGGATCCCTGCCAGGCTTTGACCACAGCCCCTGGGATGCCATCATGCCCATCAGCTCTCCTGGGCGATCACCGCTCCGAGTCCTCCTTATATACTGTTCAGGTCAAAACTTGAATCATTTTGATATATGGTAGCAGTAAAAGATTAACCTGAAATTTTGTTAAAAGTCACGCAAAATATCCATCCATTCTCTTCCGCTTATCCTTGGTAGGGTTGCTGGGGGGCTGGAGCCTATCTCAGCTGTCTTAGTGCGAGAGGCAGGGTACTCCCTTTACAGGTCCCCAGTCTGCTGCACGGCTAACACAAAATATTTTTAGGTAAAACAGGACCTAATTTGTGATACTAGAGGTTTTTCTACAGAAACAGGGGTTGAAAAGCCTAGAAAATACTCTCCCTCCTCCCTTTAATTAATAATTAATCCTCCATTTAATAATGTCAGATGGGTTATTATGTAAATTCCATAATGAATCTCTAATTTTAAAATTGGTATAAACACATATAATGAGGCAATTCTAGGCCTGGGAAAAACTGATCCTGACCATACGAACACAAACACGTGTTTGTAAGAGTTAATAAGGCTTCACATGCACGTGGGCATGAATAAACTGAATGTAATTTTTTTTCTAACGTTGACTTTGTAATGAGATGTAACCACTGCTGTCCAACGAGAATGACCTAGCTTAATTAGAATAGTCATTAGCTGTAACCCTGACAACAAGTCAGGTAAAACAGTTAAATGCTGAACTCAGCTGTAATTATATGCTGAAATTCATCACTGTGTCAAGTGCTTAATTGTGACTGTCACCATTTGCACAAACTGTCCTTCTGCTCCTATTCTGTTTGCTATCTGAGCACCACTTTTGTAGTTTGCCAGGTTACGTAACTATTATAAATGCGTTAACGCACTGACTCTTGCACTATTTGCTTTTGGCTTCCTGAATTCTTCAGTGATATGGTAATCAAAGCCTATTTTACTGTCCGCTTCACTGCAAGTCACTCTGATTAACAGTGTCAGCTAAATTACAGCAATAACAATGTAAAGTGTGGATGATGACACATTTTGACAGATGGAAATGATGCAACATCTGTTTATCAATCCAAGATCTTTTCCTCTGTTATTCTGCTCATACACATTCCCACCTGAAAGCTTCCCACTGTAGCCACAGTCTCATACTAGTTGCTCAACTGAACTTGCTGGGTTCATTATACAGTAGTCGATGTAGATGGTTAACCATTCCCCTTCAAAAAGCTAACCTTCAAGTGCTGCATCTGTAAATCCCAGCCCACCTCTGCCACCTTGAATTTCCATCCCTTTGTTTTGCTGCCAAAAGCCTGAATAAAGACGGCCAGAGAGATGGAGTGAAACAATAGAGTTCAATATTTGCTGACTTGGGGTTGCTGGTTTCCTCAATACATCCTGAAACATCAAAGCTGTTCTCAGGTACTCTGATTTATACAGAAAAAGGACGTCCGATCATTGATGCAGGTATTTTACCTTCACCTGTTTTTTTTTTCTGTCGTAATATCACATCACATCAGTCATTAAGCTCTGACCAACAGTTTTGAAAACATGCGTGTGAAATAAATCTTTGCTCTTCTCATGTCTGAATGCAGCTTTGTGGTGATATATGGACTAACATCACAGACCACATCGAAGATGCAAATTAAGAAGGAGAAAGCAAACGAGCCCTAACATTTTCCTGTTTTTGTTGCAGTATCATGATCTGTCCCAGATGGGTTTTTTAAGTTGAGATTCACTGCACAGAAAAAAAAGGAAAAGGACTAAATAACACCTCTTGCATCATGACTGAGTGGGATTTGTCCACAGATTAATGAAGTGCAGCAGTTGTGCAGCTCCAGAACTGAAATGAATAAAAAAGTGTACAGAAGCACAGAGACGGGCAGAAATGTCAGATGTCATTCTGTAACAATTCAAACAGTAGCAGACTAATATTAATATGCTGTTATTCAGACTAGAGGAGTGCCTTGATGCAAGGTTTTCAAAAGTTGAATTAAGGCAATCGATAGCAAATAGTAGGGACAGCTAACTAATTACCCAGAAGTTAAGCAGGGAATTCCCTTGACCCTCGGGGTGACCACTTTTGATGGCAACATGATTGCACAGGTCATCTGATGGAAGGCAAGCTGCTCCCAAAACAATTACAATGTAGTCTGTCAAAAAGATTGTAGTCACTCTCAGACAGATTGGTGAAGGTTTGCAAATAATTGCTGTATAATTAATAAATGTACAAAGCAGAGGCTCCAGCAACACTTAAAAGTAAAGAGGAACAACTTTATTAACTGACCAACGCGTTTCCGCTTGTGATCAATCTGCATCAGGTTGCACCAGCGAGCACAACTCATCTGCATTTGGCTATTTGCAGCAGGGGACTCAACTCAGCTGGTTGCATCCTGTAAATATCCATCCATCCATTCGCTTCCACTTATACTTTCCAGGGTCGCGGGGGGTGCTGGTGCCTATTCCAGCTGTCATAGGACGAGAGGCCGGGTACACCCTGGACAGGTCGCCAGTCTGTCGCAGGGCTAACACAGAGACAGACAACCATTCACACTCACAGTCACACCAACAGGCAATTTAGATTAATCAGTTATCCCCACAAACTGCATGTCTTTGGATGGTGGGAGGAAGCTGGAGAACATGCAAACTCCACACAGAAGGACCCCGGCCTGACGGTGGAATTGAACTCAGGACTTTCTTGCTGTGCGGCAACAGTGCTAACAACCGTGCTGCCCTATCCTGTAAATAGTCTGACGCAGTGCCTGTGTCAGTCTGTAGTTAAATAACCATCCTGCAGCAACTACATCAGAAAGAATTTCTGTTTCAAATCTAGGAGGTTCTTGCAGGATTCAATGTAAATAGTTAATATGAATTTCTATCTAATGTGAATATGGCGACAGATTTTCAGCAGACAGGAGGAGATGTGGAATTTTCACTGATTTATCACAGTTAACTGCCATATTATCGCAAACAGATTGAATATAATTGCAAATTGACCCCATTCAATGACAAATTGATACAGACTGATAACAAATTGATTCCATTATATTGCCATTTTAGTACCATCTCGATGCACCAGAGTGGCTTCGAAGATGTCCGGAAACTGACTGTGAATGGTGGCTGATCTGATCCCCTTCTCCAAAGCAGCTATTTAAGAAGAAATGAGATTGTAGTTTCATTCCACACAGTCGTAATAATTCCGGTCATGCTGCAGTTTCCAGTCACTGTTTTCCCGAGCGTGACTGCAGCATAAGAAACTCGGGTTTGCGGTCACTATGGTTTCATACATTTTCATACATTGCTATGTAGCAAAGTTTTGCCCGGGATGCC